CCTCCTCTGACACCCCCTGTCAGATCACTCACCCTGGGACTGGGCAGTGTGAGTGTGTGCCTGCACTGGGCCGTATTACCTGGACGGGAACTGCAGGTTGGCGAAATGGGAGTCGGTCCAGGTGTGATCCATCTTCAGCTGCCTGAAGAACTCCAGCACCTCCGTCGCCAGGCTGTTCCCCTCCAAGGACCCCGGAGGATGAGGCATCCTGCTGAAGTGCCTGAGTGAAGAAACAGAACCAGGAGAATACTGTGTCGCAGCAATGTTGGGGTATCAGCGTGCCTGTGTGTCACAGTGCCTCCATGTCTGTGGGGTACACAGCAGGTCACTAGTGTATCAGCACATCGGTGTGCAAGCGAGTCGGTGCATCAGATTGCGAGTGTCAATGAGTCAGCTCATCAGTGTGGTCAGTGAGTCCATACTGTATCAACACATCAGTGTGTCACTGAGTCACTGTGACACAGTATCTGATCACTAGCGTGTTTGTGAGTCATTGTGAAACGCTATGCGTATCCGTGAGTCAGTGTGAAATTGTATCTGCACCCTAGTGTGTCAGTGAGTCAGTGTGAAATGGTATCTGTACACTAGTGTGTCAGTGAGTCAACGTGACTCGGGATCTGTACACACATCAGCCTCTCTCACCCCACAGTGCTGCCTATGGTCTCCTCCTTCAGGTATTTCCTCAGCATCTCTCTCAGCTCCCCCAGGTACAGGACCCCATCCTCAGATGAAGAGTCCAGGACAGCGGAGTCATCCACCGGCACCAGCTCCCCCTCAGACTCCTCGCAGGAGTAGCACGACCCACGGAATGTGACATAGCCCAATAGGAATGCTGCAACAACAGAAAACCCGCCCTCAGCACAGGACTCGGACTCTGATTGGTGGCCGGTACACTAATGCAGAACATTATTCAGCATCATACTGTATTGACCCATATTTCTGGATTGTATTACCCTTTAGTCCCAAACAGGGGAGGATGCCATGCTTGGCAGGTTATTGACAAAGTCAACAACACAATGGATTGAAAATAAGGACCAGCAGGAAACAGAGATCCAAGGATGCAAGAGGACTTTAAGAACTGAACCACTGATGGGGAACGGGAGGCACTTTACACTAAGGGTGGTGGGTGTCTGGAAGAACAGGCCCAGCTCCAGCTGTGTTATTGAAACTGACACCCAGAGAGCTGTGAAGAAACAGCTGGAGAGGATCCCAGGATCAATGTGCTTCACAGACAGGCTGAGCAGGGTGCCTCTCCTTTGTGACCATTCTACTGTAACCAGAATGATACTGATGGATTATATACTGGACTGGACTGGGCTGGACCGGTGTTGTACTGCATTGCTCTATTACTACATATGAACAATCTACAGTGAACACTAGCACTGTAAACCTGTGCTAAATATGGGTAGTATGTAGGACAGCAGTATCCCTCCATTAAATCTGAGCAGTGTGTACAGCAGTATACCTGTAGTGAATATCAGCAGTGTAATCAGAGCGAGGTAAAAGCCGGCTCGTCTCCGGTCTCTGGGCTTCCGTAGCACCAGCGCGGTGATGTCACTGGTAAGCCCCGGCTCCAAGTCCTCCTCAGCCTCCGATTCGACGAGCTTCATCTCCACCCGGCAGTCTCCGCCTTCCTCTCCGTCCCCTTCCTCCAGGCCCCGCCCACACCGCCTCTGCCGGTATATAGAGCAAGAGGTCTGGGGGGCGGGGTTAGAATGCTGGGGAGAGGGCGGGATTAACACATTAACAAAGGCCACCACTGTGCTTCCATACTGCAGTCTGAGAGCAACGGAGATGGATAAATGCACTCATATCCAGACAAGCAGAGAGCGCGAGGTAGGGGAAGGTGAAGGAGAGGCTGAGGAAAGGAGTGACAGAGAGGGGGGACAGGAGCTCTTACCCCACTCAGCAGGGATCGAACGGTGTCCATGTGATCATGCGGGACTCCTCCGTAGCAGCCTGTCAGCACACAACACATGGGCAATCAGGCCTCTGTGGCCACGCCATGCCACGCCGGGCTCGAGAGGGCACGTCCACGCGGACTGGCCACCCAACAGCCAGCTCCCACGCGGGAATCCTCAGGGAGCTGCCCGCACAGCTGGCACCGCTGTCTCCTCACTCTGCCACCAGACCAGGACACGGGACTCCTGCCATGTCACAGATCCCTCCCTGATCCCCGTCCCCCTGCCTCTATCCTTCCTTCTC